AGATCACCGATATCTCCTGTTCTCTGCCTGTTCCCAGTATTGATCCAGGAAAGTGAGTCTTAAGCATAAGCTCTAGAGACTCCTCTTCTGTCGTTGTGTATCCTCCCTCTGGTTTTATCAGGGAGCCCACTTTTTGCTGTGGTTCTTTTGCGAGTGCTTTATAGAGTCTGGCGTAGCTCGGCATATCTTGGAAATCCTTGCATGCCTTCCTCCATGAAGCCCTTTTTTCTTTTTTGATGGCGTTGCCATATGTAGTCAGGCATGTCTTGTATATACCCCAGAATATCGGTATTTGAATCTCCATTGTAATTTCATCATCATCATTTTTCTATTTAGAAGAGTGAACAATTTCCCCATGGCAATGAAGTTTAAAAACCTGAAACTGACATCAAGATACTCTGTCGGTGTTTACAGATCACGAATTCACGGAAAGGGTTTGTTTTGCTTGAGAGACATCGAACCAGGCGAGATGGTCATCGAATATGCAGGAGAGGTAATAGTTAGGTTTCGCCCAGTACACATTTTATTATTCATATGAAATATTTGCAGGTGATAAGGTCAATACTAACCGATAAACGCGAAAAGTTCTACAATTCCAAAGGAATTGGTTGCTACATGTTCAGGGTTGACGACAATTTTGTGGTTGATGCCACAATGAAGGGTAATGCCGCCAGATTTATCAACCATTCATGTGATGTAAGTGTAAAGTCAGCCACAGACTTCGTTTATTTTTCATAAGTTCGTGTCGACAAAACCTTCGAGGCTTCATCGATTATCGTTCTGTATCGTTGATGCACGGCCAAGAAACTAAGCAAATATCTTTGATGGATTTTATTAAAATCCATCCTTCAGTAGTTGAACCAAGCTGCCCGCTCGATTTTCAGTTCATTCAATAAATTAATAGGCTTTTCGCCTTAACAGCCATTATTTGACCCATTTTGCATTTGTTCGTTGTTTGCTTAACACGCGCTGCTGGTGTTCTCTTCCTGGGGTAAACCCAAGAAGGCGAATGAAAAGTAAATGCCGGGTTGAACCGCGATGACTAGTATGCAAGCGAAAAGCGCCCCATACGCGGGCAGATTATCCGTACAGTTCAGATACGTAGAGATTTGATTCGACAGATCCAGATCGGACGAATTAAATCTTTTCCTGTCCACTAATTAACATACCAAGCACGAATGCCGATTCTTCCAGTGGTCTGGCAGAGCAGATTAGTTAAACTAAGTGTTTAAAATTGTGCTGGCATCATAGTGTTTTTAGAAAATCTACGCAAAAAAATGAGAAGATAGTGGGTAGACTAGAGACTATAGACTGGAAGGGCGTCGGCAGCCATAGGGAAAAATGAGACAAAAAAAATTAAAAATCGAATAAACGCTAAGATTTTTTTATAAGCACGTTGTTGTTAAAACAAGTAAATACATAATTATAGAAAAACAATCAAACGATACAAACCGAACTAATTAAAACCAACGTTAAAAAGGCAAATTGATCTACCACTTTTTTAGTAAAATACTGCAAATTCTGGGAAACATACAGATGTGTTCTGTTAGTTAAACACCGGCTGTTCTGGGCAACCTATTTTATTCGCTCATACAGTTGTTCGTAAAACCTATATTTTTAAATTTGAGCTTATATTATTAATGACTGCATCTGATTTACTTTTGTAATTTCATATCTGAAATATATGGTATTTAGCATCGCCTTTAACAAGAACAAACTATTTTTACGACAATTTTTGCAGTTAACAATTGAAAATGTAAACATCATTGCGCTTGAACATATGGCCTAGTCTGCACATATACGGTCTGATTCTATATACCGTCTTCACTTCATACAGTGGCAATTCATTTTCTTCGGCCCAACGTAGGCACAAATTAAATTAATCGACCGCCTATTTACTGGGTATTTTCGGAAAAGCTTCGTCTTCGTAATCGAAGTAGTGATTTTCTCCTGCGACATTAGCTACTATCTCATCATCTTCCAAGATTTCTATAGCCAAATTTTCCATCATCACCTCTTGCCCATTGCTTGAATTATAACATACACTATATCTGAAATCTGTACCGATGTCTACCGTTAAATTTTATCTGAATATGTATTTTCTTTAAGACGCGGAAATATGGCAATAGCATGACTGCTTAGGCGGCAATAATATCTGATAATAGTATTCGCCCGTACCCACTAACCCCCGCAAGTCCAGATCTGCAGATTTATTTTGTACGAAATTCGCATCGAGTTGTATCTGGCTCGTGATTAACCATTAACGCACCGATATTTCTTCGAACTTATATTTCGCTCGTGTATGGGGCGCTAAAATGTTCAGGGATTCGCCACGACACTCCAAACCGATGAAAAATAATGAAGTGTGTGTCCGGCTTCAGATGATTGTATTTGTATAATTGTGTAACGAAGAACTGAATTGTAATTCCACTTTCAGCCTAACTGTTATTCGAAAGTTGTGGAAATCGTTGGTCATAAGCACATCATAATCTTCGCTCTAAGAAGAATCCTCAGTGGCGAGGAATTGACTTATGACTATAAGTTTCCATTCGAAGAAGATAAGATACCATGCACCTGTGGGGCCAAGCGATGTCGTAAATTTCTTAATTAACAATTAAGGTAGAGTGAAGTGGGTTCGATAGTTTTGCAACCACATGTAGTCAATTGAGTTTTAATTCAAAAGTCCATTTTTACTGCTTTGTTTATTTATATATAAACAATGTTTCTGGGGTTCAGTTATTTATTTAGAATATCACAATTTAGTCAATTTTCTTAAAAACGTTTCGGTGCTTTTCCATCATCATCAGTTTTTGTTCGTGTAGGCAGTTGATGGGACTAAATTCAAGTTAGTCCTAAAACTTGCGTAGCAACAACTGCCTACGCGAAAGAACTCTAGTCAGCAGAACGTTTTTAAGAAAATTGACTAAATTGTGATATTCTAAATAAATGACTGAAACGCAGGAACATTGTTTATATTAAAATAAGAAATACATTCAAGAAAGCTTTTTATGTCATAAGTCTTATCGTTGCTTCCGTTTGATTTTATCTATTATCTTCAGAACAATTAAGTTTATCTGGAGCAGTGATTTTAAACCACTGTGCTGAGGCACTTGTGGGCTTTTTTATAACGAGTAAAGTTTCAATTAAAAAGGTATCAATAAAAGCATATAAATTTGTTAACATTAAGAAGTAATATAATTTACAAATTATTTTCACAGGAATAGATATTTATAGCAATTTTAAAAATAACTACTTGTGTAACCAAAAATATGAAAATCAAATTCCAAATTGTTATCATTAACTATTTTTCTGTGTCGTCAAATTATAAAATTCTTTAGTGTGCCGCGACAAGAATAGGTGTAATAGGAATCACTGATCTAGAATCTACGGATTTATCCAAACCCAATATATAAATTGGGTTTGAGTAAACTTTTATTTTTTTAATGAGCACGGTATTTAAGATAATTGATTTCCATCAGTGTTTCTGAAACACCATCTTTATTGAACCAACATTAATGGTACATATTTACAATGCCCATTTGAAAAGTGGCCTTTTTTGCCTTCAAATTGAAAGGGATCGGTTCAATTTGAGATATTCGCTATAATAATTTATTCTCTTTTTACGTTTTCTGCGAAATATATCAGTCATATGGAATATACGGAAGCACTTTTAATATTTTTATACTCAAGTGAGGCGATTTTTTGTTAAATTTCTTGAGAATTGTTTTACACAAATCAACTTCCGTACATTGCTGTAATAATTTTATGAAGAATCTGCTACTTTTTATCCTCAAATTGACCAAAAATTCCGAATATATACGTATTGCAGCATTGTAACATACATGACCCAAAGAATGTTAAGGTGTTGGTGTTTGATTATTTCTTTTTTCAAGCTTGGATAATTTTACTTGTATTGCCTGACTTTCTGCTTTTCGTATTTGTAAATTAGAGTTGCCATATTCTTGCAAGATGTGTGTAATTGTCTGAGTATCATTCTAATTGTAAAAATGTGTATTTTCCTGTACAGAGTAGTTGTCCCCGCTAAGCACCTACACGGTTCTTTAAAGCAAATCATGTTTAAAATAGGATAGATAGGAATTTGTAAAGTCAGTATTTGAAATTTTGTAAGTTCGGCTGTGAATTTTAATGCATTTGTGCCATCGGCCGTGGAGGTGCTCCCTTAGTTTTTCACCTTGTTGTGGTAGCCAAATGGAATCCGAAATATTGAACATGCTTACATTGTATTGTTTTTATAGTTACGGCCCAGTGAAGTATATTGTAATGTATTTGCCCCGATTGTCCAAAAATGTAAATAAAGCATGAGCAATCAAGCGTCCTTTCGGCTACCGTTTAAAATAAAATATCTGATGTGATATGTTGCATAGTTTTCTCATTTGGAGAGCTAGCTTGAAATGCTTTACTTTTAGAAAAACTATCACCGAATTATGTCCGAAATCGTTATTTTGCCCTTTCTCAGTGGTAGGTTGTCATTTTAGTTTTATGTGTAGGGCATGATTCTGTGTATAAGTTTGCTGGTCTTTTTTGTGTATTTACAGTGTGTTTTGATAAAAAAAAATAATTTTGGAACGATTATATTTGTAAATTTCGATATTTATTATTTATTTTTGTATAAAAGATAAATACATGTTTAGACAGAAGCTCTATATACATTTTATGATCTTATTTTTGTAAAGTAATCAAAATAAGAAGTTTTCTTATCTTCTAGGAAATAGTGTACAGTTTATATGAATATGAATTAACATTTGTTTCTCAGATAGATAGGATTTTAAATGACATTAACATTAGACGTAATGTAACTTACTTCTCACATTTAACACTTGAATGCATCACACATTTTACGCAATAGGTACTTTTAACTTTTTATACCCTCTAATGATCTTTATCATTTTACTCACAAAGCTTTAATAATTTTATTCAATAATATCTGACTTTTGTTTCTGATTTACTCTTATTATTGTAAATTCTAGATTTTTATACTATATTCAGCATTCATAGTATGTTAAAGAACAAAATCAGATATTTGCGTAACGTTAGTCAGTTTCATTATAAATGTTTAAGAAAAATAGTTTTGGTTACATCACGGCATTAAATGAACTGTTCAACACTCATAGATTTTTAGCTTTAATATATGAATGACAATATGAACATATCAATATAAATCCCAAAGGTAGGAATTATCTACCGTGTGATATGAGGCCTTCATAGGTAGTATAATGATTGGTTGTTAATGGGATAATTTAGTGTCTTAAAATCTGTAAATTATATTTTAATACGCTAATCGTACCCATTTTGGTGCTTAATAATTCAATGTGTCGTTTTCTTAAGCAGCTGTGCTATAAACATGTATTTACTATTTCAGAAGAAAATATTACATGCGTTTTATTGTTGTTTTTTTACAATTCCTTCATCCTAGTGCTGCCTAACCCCGATCTTATAAAAAAAACGATGTGGAGCTCCATCCCCAGTTTGCTAATCATATCCACCAGCAAATTGTGCTGGTGGATATGATTAGCAATTTTGATCTGCGAAAAGGAATCACACCGAACAAAAAAAACCACATACATTTATTCAAATACAATTTTATTTTGTGTAAATAATACAGTATAAAATAAACGTTCAATAAAAATAACTAAGCTTTCCTGTATAGACGAACATAGTGGAACGTTAATTTGTATAATTTATTGGGAGACAACCTGATCATAAATTCGACTTGTTCGGTTAACTACACGTCGTGCACACCGAACAAAATTGTTTTTACGATTCTAAATGCGTTTGTATAAAATACAGAATAAACCTCCCAAGTTCAGTGAAAAATGTACGATGTAATCGATAAAAGCATCGAATATATGGAATACTGAAGAGGTATTCAAATTCGTTCCGGATTTATCAGTCTCGAGCTAAATCCTAAACGACTTTACGAATAAATATTGTTTTAAGACTTATATCTACTGCTTAAATGAATGAAACCCAAATGTACAATACCCAACTAATGTTTATACGGATTGCTACACAATGTCTGTTTAAGGCTATACGCTCAAAAAATACCAGTACGTGCTTGTTGAGATTTGAGATATCTTCATATTTCAAACTAAAAAAAAACTTGAAGCATTCTAAACTAGAAGGTTTAGAGGTTGTAAGAAATTTAATTTAAATTTGAAAATCAATTGCAGCCACCTGAAAAATCTTACATTTATGAACTATTGTTGCTCAGTTTAAGAGTACTCAGATAAAGTTTTATAAAATCAAAATTACCTTCTGCCATCAGAGAATAGGATCTATCCAATTTTGTGCAGTCTGAAAGAAATACAAGAAGTAGATTTTCTGTGATTCACTGCCAGAAATGCACGGAAATTCTATTACTGGTGAGCGCATAGCCTTAAAGAAGATATCCTAGCAATGGCTAGTAACCTCCACATCTACCACTCGACACTTTGTCGGTCACAAAACAGTTAGTTACCAAAATGTAGGGTTTTGTAGAAATCTATACTGATTCGGTGGGGCTTTGGAATTCTGAAAGGGCATGGATTGGATTCTGCAGTTTCTTCTGTGAACCTTTGCGAACTTTGGCACGAACTTCTTCGGGTTTCTCAGGTCTCACCAATGGTTTCTTTTCCGGTGCTTTCATTTTCCATACAACAATTGGCGACTGCAAAAAATAAATAAACATATACATATATCTAACATCTCTGCATAACTAGATCTTACCGCAACAGTTCCTTGTCTTGGGTATTTGGTAGAAGCAACATACGAAGCTTTAACTGTTAAGACAACAGCGTTCATCAGATTTTTGGCAGCTTGAATTAGAGACGTGGCGCTATCGAGTCCAGACACAATTAGTTCACCACTGATATTTTGGACGTCCGCCTTGACTTTAGAAGTAATATTCATCTGATGACAATACAATGCAATTCTTTGAAGGTACGCCAACAAATCTTTCTTGGTAGAACTCTCAGGGCATTGCTCAGCTATCTGTCTAGTCAGTTTATCCAGCTTTGTACCGGCTTCCGAAATTTTCTTCGCTGCATTTATTACATCCATAGTGGTCTTCAGAGGGCCTCTACCTCTCGTGAAATCCGTCATTTCCATCATGATGACACACATGTGTTTTGCTAAGACAATAATATCGTTGCCTGTGTCGTCCCATTTAGCCACTTCTCGATCGAATTTCAACTTTTCACTTCTAAAGTATTCCACTTGTTGAAGAATTTTCTTCCTGTCTTCTTCCGGCATTTTACCCATGGCCTCACGAGCAGTGGTAATTCCACTAATTTCTGGGTACTCATCTACTCCATGCTCACCAGTATGAGCACTCGCTGTTTGAACAGAAACATTATATTTAACGAACTGACAATTAAATAAGACAACAAATGCATACATTTACTCTTCGTTTCCAGAGTGTAGTTTTCGTCCAACTCTACATCCTCAGGATCCAAATCTTCATCGGCTCTGTTCATTAGAACGGCTCTGCGAATTTCCCGTACACCATCATATACTAAGCGCGAAGCGTCAATAAATTCGTTTTCATCCAACTCCTTCGAAGGTTGTCCCTGTTGGCTGTTCACAATGGCCTGGACCGCTACTTGAACTCTTTGGGTGAACTTTGGCATTACTTGATCATTTAAAACCTAAAAAGTCGATTTCATACACATCTGCAACTTCATAACTTTTAAAATCTTACCTTAACCGCCTCCAACACACGTTTCGTATAAATGCAAGGTTCGTAGTTGTCCATTTCTGCTGCGACCACTACTCCGATCCTACCAGTGCGTCCCCTAATTGCAGCTGCAGTTCTTTCCAAAGTGTCTGCCTCATTTTCTTGCAAAGCTAACACACACTTGTTTACGTCTTCCAGAATATGATTTTCCGACACAGCCAGGAAGTCGTCTACTGTTGTAATATCGTCAATGGCATCGGTCAAGATACGCACCTGAATGCAACAAGTCCAGTTAGCCCTAGCTAGCAAAAGTTAATATTTCCTAAAATATTAACATTCGCCCCATTTACCTGATTTTCCCACGTAAGTCGAAAGGCATCCATGTTTTCTTGAGCGACCTTACTTCTGGGTCTAGCAGCTAGAATTCTGGCTGCGTTGATTACTTCCGGACACAGCGAGTCGATTTGGGCAGCAGCATAACGTACCATTTTAACGCCATCTTCATGGCTTGACATGCTGCAAACCAAGGCGGCTACTTCGACTAATTTGTTGGAATGCTCCGTGAAGACTCCTGCATATTCCTCCACTTGCTTCTCATCGCCATTTTGCGCTGCTTTGATTAAAATCAGCAGTGGGATGCTCGTTTCCATAAAACTGTAATTGAAAATCAGTCAACTTTCATTCAACGAAACATAACAATGCACAAACCTGTCGGAAATATGATCCACAACAGCTTTTCTCAGCTGTCTCCTGAGATCTTTTGTTTTCCCTTTCATGTTATCAATAGCTTTACCCAAGCTCTCGGTTTTATCTTTATTGCCCATCTAGAAAAGAAATGGCCATTTACCACTAACAGTTTTTCTTTCGGAAATCGACACCAATAGTGATGGAAAAACAGAGATTCATACAATGAAACAAGGGGAAAATAAAAAACTAATATGATTCGACGATTGCAGTGACCAAATGTGTATCTAATCAGACACCAACACAGATGTTCATATTCGATTAGCGTCGTGATGGGTTAGAACTTAGTTTCATAGCAATTCAATGTCAATTGGCAAGTTGATCAATTTTTACAGTAACATCTGTGTGCGACAAAAACTAGTCAACATTAATTCTTTTGTATTGACAACCCCTTATTTTCGACGTTTGCTGCCTAAAACTAGAACTGGGAATATGTCAGCCAAGAAAACATGTAGACTAGCAGAAAACATATTAAAACTATAACACATTCCGGCGCGCTCAAAGATGACGAAGAAAGATGAGTTCTTAACGTTTAACATCAAAACAGTTAGGAAATTATATTTACCCGGCCTGTGATTCCCCGAAGCACCTCCAACTGCTACACAAGCAAAAATTATTCTTACTATCTGGCCAACACACTATTAGACAGAACCCATGAAAATGCGATTCCATTAACTTTTTAAAGCAGTAAAAACAATTTAATCCTCATGAGTTCTAAATGTGAATCTGATACAGATATCATAGTTATTACCTGTGCTTTTTGCATATCTAAATTAAAACAAGAACCAAACACCAGAAATAATGCCGAATAACACAATGTTTGTTAAGAGTCTCAATAAAGCACTGATAATAAAGGAATTGTCAACATTTAAAATCGCGGCAGGAAATACTTACATTAGACATATACTCAGAAAGCAAATCTTGGAGAGCTTGACGAACTGCATTGCACTCAGCAACAATGCGCTCCCGTCTATCGTCTCGAGTGCAACTGGAATCTGCCATCAACGCAGCACCACTGATTATACTTTCCAGACGTTCCTCCAAAGACGGTCTAGTATGCACCTAAAATCAAACATCTGGACTTAGGTTGTTCTCTATACATGCCTGCACAATAATGCGTGTTACCTCATTATATGCAAGAGGTTCAATAACAATGTGCTCATCAAAGTCGTCAAGTGCTGCAGCTAATTCCCCTGGCCCATCATAAGGTCCTGCAGCTGGAGGGGCCCGGCCTTGTGCCACATCATTAATCGTATTTACTGCTTCACACACCTAAAGATGCTCTTTCTTACTCCATTTACTGAAATGCGACTCAATCGAGCGTCAGATCTTACCTGTTTTAAAACATAGTCTCTGTTGGCTTTGGCTGCGGCAAGTTCCGGATGACGAACATAAACTTTTGAGGCTGTGAGCAGCATAGTCGAATGTTTCTTGAGCACTGCCCTTGCTGCAGCTAAATCATCCCTGAGATGTGGATCTTTGAGCTCTTGCTGCCTTTTAGCAGCTTGATTCATCAGCTCATTAGCGTTGTGTCTGAATGTTTCAATGTTATTAAGCAACTCATCATTGCTTGAAGCCATTTTCAGTTTCTCCAGATCGTTTTCCACGATGTGAAGGGACTTGAGCAAAAGATGGACATCCACCATGTCCGCTAGGATAAGCAGACGAGTCACTGCTGATAGCAGATTTCGAGCTGCCCTTACCATATTGCTACGCTTTATCGAAGAGCAAGGGTCCTCAGAGAATTCGCGAGCATCTCTGCTCATCTGAGTACCTGTGAACAAGATGAGATTGAGATTAAGATGGAACCGATAGTGGCTCCTTGTCCTCCACTTACCAGTTTTCCTGACTTCATCAACAGCAGCCAACATTTCCTGGGTAATATCAGGATTTTCGTAGGCGATCTGTTCACCTTTCTCGATGAAATTCTCCGTTGCTTTTTCAACCGTCTGCACTAAAGCATTGGCTCGCTTGGACTTGCCCTTCTTTTTCTTCGAAGGGCCGTTGGTGTTCACTAGAGTTGTCACCTGAAGTACCAAAGGCTCCAGAGTTTTTTCCACTGACATGGTCCTTATTTCTAGGTTTTTCGGATCCCATTTGAGTCCAAACTGGTCACCCATCGTGAGAGTTGTAGTCATCGTCATGGCTAGAAGATGTATGACTTCAATCAATTTCAGTCTATTGATTCTGATAAGTATTCTGAATCATGCACTTTCTTTATCTTGGAAAAATGATTCATCCTGCTAACCTATTCGTACCTATTGGAGCGTGTCGTGTGAGACAATTGAAGATTGAGGAATTTAATTTCGAAGTAACACTTTTTGAGGACTAAAAGTAAGATTCTTGTTGAAAGGCGAGACTGAACATGAAGCACATATGTTGTGATCAAGGCGATATCCGCCTAAATTCAAGAATTTCCACAATCAGCCGACATAAATGTGAGATAGCAACATGAACCAACCTGGTATGATTCCAATCCTGTGATTATTCACATACCACTCCTACCTGTATTACTCCTTAAAGATGATTAATAACCAGCACTTCTTAACTATTCACTACACAACTCTGGATGCTTACGTTACACAAAACACTAAACGAATTTACAGTACCAACTTGATTCACCTTTAAAAACTGAAAAAATAAAGGTAATACGTCTATATTATATTTACACAAACACCAGCTTTCATTTACGTCTCGATTGCTTACTTTATTTATTTAATGGCTAACGTTGACTGGTTTACGGTTCACGCAGGCCCATAGAATAATACATTCATTACCAAAAGGTCGATAAATGCGATCTTTATTTCATGGATAATCATCTCAAGCCAGCTTTAGAACGGACGTCCGAGATGGCGCCGCTGATACTATGTGATGAACATACAGGGTGATTTAGAATTGGCGTCATTGCTCTGGCGGCGGTCTGGAGTACAGGAAAATTAGGTAAAAAAATTAACTGTTATTCAAAACTAAGAAGTTTGAAAAACCTATATCAGAAGGATGGCAACAATGTTTTTCAAGTTAATTTGCCTAATTAACATTATGTAAAAACCTGTTGCTTCGAAATTATTAAAAACTCCGGTAACCATGGAAAAATCGAGAAAGTGACAAGAAAATAGATAAGGATAGAGGGTCAATTCAACAGGATTCATTAAAAGTAGAGATCTACTTCTTTCGTCAAATTAACGAGAAATTGTTCTTTGCTGTTTTTGTGAAACTGTTTTGTGAAAACTATTTCTGTTCTCTTGCCAACGGACAATTTTCGACATCCATTAACTAAACTTAAATTAAGTTTTTTGCAATATCGGGAAAGCGCTTAGATAGATTTTAATAAAACTTGATCTTCTTTTCGCGAGATTTGTGATGAATGCGGACGAAACCGCTGCCAAAAGACGACCGGTCTAAGACTGACCAATCGGTCACTTAAAAATGATTACGTTTTTTACAATTAATTTATTATAAAACAATTTTTATTGCTTACAATATTTTACAGTATTGGTAAATATGGCCATTTTCAAGCCAGGAAAGCCAGGAAATAAATATAATGTTTACCAATTATGAGTTTGAATTAATTTTGAAATCTGATGATGGCGCTGTTGTCTCGCCGAAACGTAACGAAATAAGCGATATACAAAAAAAAAATTTTGTTTTGCACTGTGACTGGAGCTCAGGAAAGAAAATAATATAATAACAATTACACGCAGTCAGGAAAATAACTCAAAATTAAACCCAGTTTTATCTGATTTTTTTTCTTTCAATATTTTAGTTGTACAAATTAGATAAATCGTTAAATGAGGCTCTGAAAATATGTGCATTATCGGGGTAAAACGGTGTTTTGGGTGTGAACATTTTAATTCAATTATTAAGACAAACCCGTAAGTAAATTGAAAAAAAAAGAAGAAACTGTAAAATTCCACCCAATGCCAATCTCGCGCTAAGTAGATTCAACAACCAAACAACCAAACAGTGTTCAGTCAGTTAGTTCTATGCTAAGGATTCGGTCGTGCCGTCGTAGGGTTTCCGGTACGCTCAACTTGCGTATATTTTATATTTTTCGTGATTTGCTCGATGGAGTAGTGACTTTTTGGATATGATAACTACAAATTAATTAGTGATTTTCATTATTTATGTAAGTTGAACTACAGTCTAGTTATTATTTAATATCTGTATAATGTATACTGGAACTATAAATAATAAAACAGTCGATTTTTAGCAAAAACAAATTATCAATTTTTTGCGCGCATATCAAATTGAACTCTACACCCACTGCAAAAATATTTGAAAAAAGATGCTTGATGACATAAGTGCTAAAGAGATTGTTGATTTTCGAGACCCAGGTACCATAATTAACATACTCAACTAAGTAAATTTGAATAATTCTTATGGTTTCTAACTTGATAACAAATTCAGGGTCGACGATGGTTAAGCCAGCATTTCACATTCGAGTTTTATCATTATTTAAATTTCATTTCGACTATGGGTTTTCTAACTGGAAACCGCATTTGGCTCTATTATACTCTATCAATCTGGTGTCCGGCACAACGTCGTTAAAAAACAATTTGTGATAATTCCTTCTTTCATTCAACGCGGTTGAATTATTTATGATTTGGGGCTGAAATTAATTTCTAGTTGGAAGATTTGACTAACACCTATTGAGGAAAAACTTCCAATTGCTGACATTTGAGCTGAATGGATTAGGTACTAGCTACTTCCTCTTAACACGTATGAATATGCATGAAAATTGATTTGCTATAAGGCAATAAGGAAGCAAAGTAATTTCTTCGCGCTCCTTAATACGAATTAATAAAAATTTCTGAGATTGAACTGAAACTGTAAGCAGTTTTTGAGAAAAATCAAAGAGTAACTAACCGATTTCGCAATTAGTGATTACTTTATAAGCAGCGTCCATACCAGCAGCCGTAAGACCAAAAATTTAGCGATTTTCAACAAAACATCTACGCACTATCAAGATTGATCAGACTTCACCGGAATTTCACATTCGACATTCGATTTCAATTGCGATAATCTTCATGTTGCTTTCTTTTTTTGTAGACGTGCCGTTCAAAGTTTAATGATAGAAAAATTGCATGTCAATCATATCCGAAATTGGTTTTACCAATTTTTTTTCGTAATTAGATATTGCGCTTACCTGACAGGCCGAACATTGAAAAATGATTTTCTTTTATCAGTTGGATAATTTTACATAACGGTGGTTTAAGCCATTTCTTAATAGTTATTTTATTAAGTCGGTGTGTTGTGATACATGATAGCGGCAAAATGTTTTACTAGGAGTGGTTTCAATATTTATATCTGTAATTATCTACCTGCAGGAATATGCGTAGTCAAATTAAATAATAGGCATAAAGTTCCGGCGCTAAGCGATATCATATTGGCAATTTAAGACTCACCTGCAGGCCCTGTCAAATTTATTATGCGTTGTAATTGGATAGCAAATCCAGTCAAGAAATTTATGTTTACTATAGACATTTAAACATATTTTTCGTAAAAATTCAAAGTGCAACGATTAAGTGCGCCCATAAAATAACCGCTAATAAAACTACATATATAGGAAACAATAACTGTTACAAAATTGTTAGGGTTACTGAACTATTTATCTAATAAACGCAAATGAATGCTCTGTTTATTTCACACAAGAACATTTAATTCGAGCTCCTCCGTTTAGATAAATTAGGGTCAGCACTATTTAAACTCATCTTCATGCCTGTTTTCCCATACAGCAATTAAAAATATTAATATACTGGGTACTAAAACCGTTACAACAGAGATGAATTAGGTATTTATCATATTTCTATAGCGTTTAATCATTCATATTATTAGCATGATTCAACCTCTTGTGAAGCATATTCCATCAGAGATTAATCCAAACGCACAACTACCGAAAGTTTCCAATTGCAATATTAATAGAAAGAACAATGGGAAAATTGACATAAACCTAGGACCTAATCTTTGTATAGATTTTACGCCTCTGATTCGCATAACTATTGTAAATTATTGCTAAAAGCAAGATTGCAAGCATGCCTATTTTGCACTAAGCAGTGCTTTATTATTCCATTGTTGGGAGTTGAAGCAACTATTCCTCATTAAAAAGGTTATTGACACATTTTAACTGTAGTAATGGCACATGTGGCAGTCAGTGGAGACTAAGAAAACAAATGATGAGATGTTAGCTTTCTCAGACCCCCGCACTTTTTCTAACTATAATTCGAATCATTATGTCGGAAGAGCTCAACTTTGAAAGGAAGTTAATCAATGTGAAGATCAAGATGTTTGGAGTGTCAACCTCAAACTATATTTATAATGGTCGTTGGAGCAAAAATGTTTCAATTATTGAATACAATGCAACGGCTCAGGAATATGCTCTCAAAGTACCCATTGTTTTCCATGGACGAAAAAGGCCGTAAAATTTAAATAAAAAAGGTTTAAGTGTTGAATGCAGAAAAGATTTCTGACTGCCGTAATTTGATTGATTTTACTGATTTTACTGTTTCTATAAACTACATCCGAAGAACATAAAGCTTAAACATAAAATTCCCAAAATTACAATTTAATAGACGATCTATTAAGTACGGAATTAAAAATATGTGGCAAGAAGTTGTACACAGAATGTAAATGCGTAAAAGCAAATAGAAAATTCCTCTATCAAAGTTGAAATTGAATATAACGAAACCATTATGCAGACGTTAACACATCTGGTCCGCAGATTACTTATCTTCGCTGAAAGGCATCAAGTATTAAAAATTAAATCAGGGAATTGCATAGTCAGCTAAATGACAAGAAATTGTTCCCATTTTCGGTATTCCTTCGTCACAAAGCACCAAGATAAAGAGGGCCATCAGGTATGCCGTTCTGGGAATTATTTTCGGTGAACTTTGACTTTTCCTTTTGATGAGTGGAACATGTGTTGGAACCATTTTTGGGCACAATTCTTAAAAGGAACCTGGCTAGAAAGATAGATGGGCATTTTTAACTGCCCGATTCTTTAATTACATAAGTCTTTTGCCTCATGATTGTCGAATATTTATACTCAATACTATAAGTTATGCGAAGATGTTTCAGTTTTTCACAAAAAAAATTAATATTCTACGTAATTATTTTGTAAATTTGACTGGTACTGGCACTGCTTTTACAAATGTTTTCATTAAAGATGGAAAATCATCAAAACCGCTGACCAGTTTGTGGTTTTATGCACCTTTCGAAATTAGCAATTTTGGTTTTTGACCGGACAGATGTTACATAGCACACCTTTTATGGCACGTGCTGTTCTTGCACCCGCTCTTCAGCTCACCCGGGCATTTTGATAAATTGAATTGGTTCTGATGTAACAAAGTTGCAGTTGACACCGTTTATGGAAAGCTGCTTATTTCAAAACGAATTCATATCTACTATATATCGAATCAAAATATTTACGACTTAATTGACCTTAATATTTGAGTGTAAAAAGTGATGGAAATTGCACTATACAGGGTGATTCAAAATTGGCCTCATTCCTCTGGGGGTGTTTTTAGAAAACTTTTTCAGAAGGATGGCAACAATGTCTGTTGCTTCGTACCGGTGTTCAGTCAACCATTGGCTTAATGTGTCCTTGTGTTCTGTGTGTCTTACATACGTGATAGGAATGTAGCCCTTCATCGGTATTTATTTGGGTATGATCCATCTATTAATGACAAAAAACATCATTGCCGCTCTGACTTTTAATCAAAAAATTGTAGAGAGAATTTCGTAATTTGAAGAAGACCGTAAGTTTGCTTTTCGAACGGTTAAGCATTCCAATCGGCTACGAATCGAAAATGGGACTATTTAAAAACAAAGTTGGCATTCGATTTTCAACTGTTAATATCTTCTGGAAATTTTGGAAAAAATGTTTTCATTATTTTACTCGCACTAAGTGAGCCCCTATTACCCCTTGAAGCACTTCTCTAATGGAACCTGTAATGTTCATTGGATAAATACTTTAAATAAGATGGCTCTACTATTAACTCTCTACTAACGTGAAAGCACCTGGATAAGAGACCAGATGCCTCAATCTCTAACTTGTGGGGCATTTTACGTCGCGCCCTGATTCTAAACCCTTTACAGGCACACAATGACAAATTTTCCGCTTTGATCTAAGCGCGAATCGTTTTATGTTCTACAACGTGCGTTTCTGCAAATAAATTGCAGTTTGTACTGATGTTTATTCAACGTTATCTGGCGTCTATCAGCAATATTTTTCTCTCTAATTTTATCAATGGATTACTTTCATTTAATATACGTTAACGGCAAACATTAGGTATTTGCGGTGCGTATCGTAACTAACTAAGCGCAGATTTTTTTTTTTTTTTAGTTGAATAAACACAAAGTTTGTATAGGTCTATTGAATCTACTCGCGCTAATTGAAATCCCATTAAAAGCTCCAAATATGAGAAATCTATCCCATCCATCAGTTAGGATGAGAATCTCACGGAAATGCTTTCGCCTTAAAAAATTGGCCACATTTAACGAGCATGTGGGTCACACACCTAAATTACCCAATAGGTTTACAATTAGTTCCGAACAACAGTCATATGGGCACAAATAATGAGCAAACTTTAACTTTAAGGGTTCAGAAAGTTATTTTCGATGTAGCTCCTAAATAGAACATGTTTGCATGTATTAATTACGCAACCAACATGGATATTTTTGCTTGTTTGTAAGATTTATGGTACATATGCAGAGGTCATTGCTCAGATTGCTCAGTGTCCTTCTACAATTGCCAGTGATCTTACCGGAAATTTTATCAAATTCTGAAGCAGCATAGTCATTATTCATTATCAATATTCTATGGTAAAAGATAGTACTTAATCAATAGTACTGCTCTATTCGTATAAATCTAATTGGCAAAATTTCAACTTAAAACTCGGCTATGAAGCAAATCAGCACTGCTTTTGGCCATTATGAAAAGCGAATTAGTATCTAGTGCAATTGAAATGTATGCATTTTAATATAAACCACTTTAATGTGCTTAAAATTGAAGTGTTTCCATACTTACCTACTTAACACACGCACATAGAATGGTTGATTCTGACTGCAAGAACCGCATCCTTTGATCCAATCCACATGCTTGTTAAATTAAGCACTCATTTATTTTTC